AAACTTTTTTTATGAAATATTTATCACTGGTTTATTTCACATGGGCAAGGAATTTTGTAAAGTACGTTTTTTGTATTTTCAATTTTGTCATCAGGTTTTGTTTTTGAAATTTTGCTTCTAGTTTTATTTTCTATCAAATCGGCCGAATAAACGGAATAAGAAGGCTTGTTGGTTCATTTTGATTTGCTATAATTTGGATTCTCATCTTCATTAAAACTTTTTTTTCGCAAAATTAGATTTATTACAATTTATTTTTGCTCTCTCATGTAAATTTTTGTGCATGTATCGGGTGGTTTGAGTGAAAAATCACATATCTATTTGAATGAGTAGGTTTTCTATGTACCAAAGTTTCAAGTTTTCTTTTTTTCATCCAGAAAATGAACTTGGTTCTTTTTCACTAGTGAATTTAAATTTTGGGTCTTCACTGTTCAGGCATGATAAAATAAATATGGCAAAATACCCAAGATAACAAAGTTGTCGTCCCCTGCAATATAAAATTGCAAACAAAAAACTCAGATTTTAGCTCGAAAATTCAAGTCGGAAATGCTTGATTCAACTTCCAGCATTAATAATGCAGGTAACCGATGTTATTTCGCAAATCCTGTGGAATTGAAAGAATGTATGCGACATTCTTTCAATGATTTGCGGTCTAATGACTGAAGTCAACTCGCTGTTCGTAGTTTACAATTGATAATATTTTATCTGCTGCATTACTTATGTCGCATAATAATAGTGGTTTTACAACAATCGGCGCTAATTGCATTTAAATCGATTCTAGGCGCAAAATTGGATTCGCAACAAGTAGAACAATTTTGTTTGCAAGCAAGCTGTAAAGTTCGATTCAGTAAACTGCAGATGTTTGCTTGAGCAATGAGCAGCAGCAGCTTAAAACTTCAAAAAGTCCCAGCAATAAAATTTATTTCCCAGTGTTGTTTAGCGTTCCATGTGGTAAATCTCTTCAGCTAGCCGACTGGCTGTAGAGTTATCGCATTTGAAAATTCAATGGTCGCTTATTCTAACGGATTAGAAAAGTAAAAGTGTTGTACTTGTTTCGCTATCGACAACAAACTAGTGCGGCAGCAAGTGTGTCCGTCCATGTCGGAATTTCGAAAAGATTACCAATGTTAGTATTCGACAGGCTGAGGAGCGGTACGCGACCAAGAGTTATTCGGGTTTATTCCCCATTCAACCTGCCAATGTAGTTTTTGGATTAACTGTGTGTGTGCCCGTGTGTCGCAGAAATGTGGGTGAAGCTGGAATTTGGGAAAATTTAATGTTTCACCAGGCTTAAAAATGCTGGAAGTTGTAGCTTTGGGCAAAACCGGGCCCTTTAACGTGTTTAAAATGCTGCCCAGCGATTCTCCTCGTTATAGGGTGAGTTTTTTGCCCGCGTCATTAGCATTGTTCGTCTATTCTCATCTAGTCGCATGACAGCAACCCGATATCATCCGGTTTTAGAGCTCAAACATTTTATGTGACGCCAATAAAGCGAAAAAACAACAAAATCGTCGACACATTGCAAAGAGATTTTGTACTCAACACAAATAGACGAAGCTAATAACGATTCAAGTGCATTTCAGACAGGGCAAAATGGGTTCGAAGGAAAAAATGGAAATTTGAAAATTTACATCTGAAATTGGTTAAAAATGTGCCTGTTATCGAATTTGCAAATTGAAAGCCCTCATTTTTATTGAATGTATACATTTTTAGCGTTTTTAACGTCGGGGACACGGTTGAAAATGTCCTTGTTATCCTAAGAACATTTTTTATGAAGATAATTAACTCTTGAATATTAAAAAAACGATTTGAAATCGGAAAAATATCTGTTAGTGTATATCTAGCTGTATCTGCGAGTTGTAGCGGAAAACAAGTTTTCGATAGAACGAATCAAAAACTTCCGCTACTAATTAGGGTTTGGTAGAAAAGTCCCAACTTCTGAAAAGGCTTTAGAAGCATTTAAGCCTGTGAAACCGATGAAAATTTTTGACCGTTCTTTATGGAAGAACTATTTCGATAGCATGTTTCTCCAACTAGTTGAGAATGAGAATAACAAGAAATGTACAAAAATAGACTTGTGGAAAAGGGTTTGCTACACATTTTTAATCTTAAAAAAAGTTAGAAGCAAAAGTGGAAAACGTATGAAAATGTACGAGAAATCCACTTACATTTTTCGATACTATCTTTAGTAAACTTCATGTCTGGCTAATTCGCTTAACCTCTAAAAGGAATAAGCAATGGTATATTTTGATTTAATAGAACTAGCGAAGGATAGAAAATAGATGGATCGATGTTTTCGCCAAAAATCAAATTTCTCAAAATTTCCCAAACTCCGTAAATGTGAATAATTGGTAAGCATCAGGTCGAAAGCAGTCAAAAAACTTGCATGTGAAATTTTCATTTTTTTGCCCAAACTTTCATAAATGGAAGTTGAGGTTTTCGAAAACATCAAATTTCTCAAAATGCCCCAAACACCGTAAGTTTACAAAATTTGGAAACTCCTTGGGTCAAAAGCAGTGAAAAAACACGCATGCAAAATTTTTGTCTTTTCGAAAATTTTCTACGAGTAGAAGTCGATGTTTTCCCAATAAATGGAATTTCTCAAAATGCCCCGAACAAGTAAAAAATGCATAATTTTTGCAAGCTTTTGCGGTCGAAAGCAATAAGAAAAACCGCATGTTAAATTTTCATTTTTTTCTCCAAATTTTTCAAGGCTTTTAATGGTCGACGTTTTCCAAAAAAATCAAATTTCTCAAAATGCCTTCGTACATCATAAAAATGGGGGGAAGCTCCTAAGCCCCAAAAAATAAAAAGCATGTAAAATTTTCGCCTTTTGCCGAAAATGTTCTAAGGGTAGAATAGAAGTCAATATTTCTCAAAAAAATCAAATTTTGCAAAATGCTCCGAACACCTTAAAAATGCAGAATTGGAAGGCTGAAAACAATCAGAAAACTCGCATGTAAAATTTTCATTTTTTTTTCTCGAACGAAAAGGAATAAATATTAATATAATTCTTCCCGAGAAGAAGGCAACAAATTCAGATCTTTCTATCTAAAATTCTACAACAATTTGTCGATACAATGGATGCTAATGCAACAACAATGCTAATTCGTAATGTTAAATGTTCAAAATCGACACAAAAACTTAATTTTTTCCTGTCGATCCAGAACTGGGAATTTTCGGGTTACTAGACAGACCATCGTCTATAGGAATTTGCGACGTTTTGCCTGTATACATGAGTAGCACCTTCAGAGCTGTGTTTGGGGCCGAGTCGTGTTTACTTTGGGGTGGTTTAGGAAACGGAGCCAAACCTGATGATTTTTCATTGATAAATATTGCCGCGAACCCCTAAAAAAGTTAAACAATTTTGAACTCATTTGAAGCAGGTGGCCATGCATACTAACGAAACGTCGAGGCCAATTTTCCATCGACCACGCTCCAATAACCCAGTGATATAATATAAATATATCACTGTTCGCGCGCTTAGCGCTTGTTCTTTTCACCATCACTTTGTCCGCACAATTTTGAGCCCAAGATTTATTTGAGTGTTCAATATTGGCGATGAAGATTTGCAAACGAAAATCACTTCGAAGTTTTTCCTATTAGAATGCAGTGCTGAAAGACAGTGATGGCATTCCGACGAAACCAGGCTCTTTCGCCAGGCGTGTCGGTTTATTTTAACAAAATTAACACCCGGTTTTACAGCCACCAACATTAAACAATATCAAACCGTTTCCCATCGCTCCAGGCTATAAGTTCGGTGCGAAATTGTTTTTATGTTGATTCCTATCATCAACGCAGTGGAAAACGGTGCCAATAAATCCCGAACGGGACGGACCGACATCCAGATTTATGTGCGATGGAATTTCGAAACTGTGACCTACAAAATTCGAATTTAAAAATATCGCCAGAAAAAAAGAAAAAATCTAACTTCTAGGGAAACCACATGTTAAGCATATTTCTTCACTGAATAATGGGCTGGTGGTATTGAAATAAGATCATGCCCAAATGCTCATTGTAATTAGCAGAACGGTATACTTCGCTTGTAGCAATGAAATTTGAATTAATTTTAGTGCAAGAGCGAAAACTTTGCATAAAATCAACGGCCATAGAAAGGAAATAGCTTGCAATTGTAGCAAATTGCAACATTTTCTATCAGCCCAGACATATAAATCACCGTAAAAGTGCAGTATAGAAATACTTTATTTTATAACCAGGATAGAAATCCTGGTTATAAACGTATTAAGTTTGTATTTAATTACCTTCTCGTTAACTGTTTTTACGGCAATAAAGTACAGTCATACTTGCTAACGGTGTTTTCAATTCTTAAATTGATTTACTTGTTCTTTCACTTTGCCGCAATTACACCGAATAGACAAAGACTTGAATCTAGCGTTTGAGCCTCGTTGTCTCTTCATCCCTTTTAGTTTCGTTTTCTTGACAATAAGGAAGCTATGCCAGTTATGTCGCCTAAAAATAAGCCGCATGCTTCGAGAGTAGCCAGTAAATATGCAATCGCTTAGCTGAACTCTTTTGGAACGAACGGAATGCTTCATTGATTTTTTTGTTGTCGCATTTTGGCCCGCTATTTTAAGAGTGACTGAAACAAGCTGGCAATTTAAACTGCCATTGCCAAATTAAGCATTTGGGCAATTGTACATGATATAAAAATCTTCGACGGTCATCTGATGGTGCATCCTCTCACATGTCGCCCAACAAATGGAAACTAACAATCAAACTACTCGGCATTGTTTGTTTAAAATAAAATATCCGAGTTAATGAACCTTAAAACACGAACAGCAGAAGAAAAGTGGAACGCACATTGCCCGTTTTTTCCTCTTCCTCTCCCATCATACATCAAAGATGAAATTTATTTGCGTGGTTTTCAGCTGTTGCATGTCAAATGCCACCAGAGAATATCGGGGGGCTCTTTGTACAAATCGTCAATGGAAAGGCGGCTGAGTTGAATTTATGGCCAATTTTTTGTGTGTTTTTGTTTGCAGACACTATGCGCTGAACCCGCAGGCCCGCCGGCCAATATGCAGATTTCGGAGGCGGCCGGAGGGGTTCCGCAACCGGGGGCGGAACCTTGTCGCTTTCCCAAACTGGAGGAATGCGCCCATTTTCACTACGAAAGGGTGCAACTGCCGCCTGCTCTTCAAGTCGCCTTACAGACCAGCATGGATCAATCACTACATTCACAACACAGTGAGTTTAGGGCGGATAGTTTTTTACTTTACTTAATAACCCTGTATTTTTTTCATAATATTCGGAAACAGTAGCTTTTGGGAAGTACCTCAGTTTCAGTCATCATAAAATGTCCCTGCAATGAATATTTAAGAGGCCAACATTTTTTTTATTTTGTTGAGCTGAAAGCTTTGTTAGATGAGCGTTTCTGGTTTGGTTTAGCAAATGAAGATGAAGACGCGGAATGGTTTATGGTGCAAGTGACATCCGGAGACGAATGCTGGCTGGTGCAACGCAACTTTGAGAACTTCAAAATGCTGGACGAACAACTGCATCAGTGCATCTTCGACCGAAAGATCTCCCAGCTGCCGGATCTTGCCAGTATGTCGAACAACGAGGAAGATCTCGAGGTATGCAATTTCATAATTTGAAATTCCTCGGTAGGTTGTGCGGCTCTATGGAAGACGCCTTTGTGTCTCGTATAAATAGTTTCAGATAATATTTTGCTATGTCGACGACGACTAATCCGAGCGATGTCCCACTTACTGTTTGAAATATCTTCTGCGACCCAGATAACCTCGTTGCCAGAATTGTTAGACGTGCTGTCGCCTTTGTAATTATTGTAAACTGGCAGTCTTGCGGAATTTATATCAGCTTGATATGCATCACATAATCTATTTGTATGTTGGATTTCTTGC